TATGTTTTCCATTAAGCTTAAACCCTAATACTACCAGGAGTGCTGGCTGAAGCCTTCTGTTGTGGTTCAAAAGGTGTTTGACATTTTATCCAGGGTCTATAACCACTTAAATGAATAAGGGACAATTTAACGTTGATCCATACTAGGATTTAGTTCAGATTCCCACTCAGAGCTGTCTTATTATCCATAGACTTAGTAGAGCCAATGAAGACTTCACAGACACAACTGATGACCCCAGAGGCTGATCAGAAAAACAACAGATCAAAGTAATGATCTGAGATATTTCCAGGCATCTTAATGATTAAACAGGTTTAACTGCTTACTCAATGAATACAGTACAAATTGGTTACTCCTATTAACTCCTTGGTTAATTGAGTGGATGCCTCCGTATTTTGTTGTTTGTTTCTCTGACCTCATCTTCTAATGAAAACTTTCAGTCATGTTTACCAAACTCCTTTAGCTTCACGTAATTTAGATGTCATGTTTAATTGTCACTTCTTTTTACTCAACCATTTCAAAAATATTTTAGTCTTTCTTGACTATGAAAATTCGTTATGCCTGAAGTTTATGAGAGTTTTAATTCCACGGCTGGGCTGTCATGACTGGCAGTCAAGGGCTTCTCTTAGAGTTTAGAGTACCTTTGCAAGTTCACTAGACAGATTAGAATAATTCATCTCATTCGATCTGTTCTTCCATATACACAACACAAGTCAATGTTTGTTATGACTTTCTTGATCCTTATTTATAAGACAATACAAGAGGAAACCATGTGCGTATGTTTAGAAATAGAAATGATACATTGCACAGATATAGTTCACCACGTTCTGGGATGGGTTGTCAGTGTTCAAATGGGGAATCTGAAGAGTAAGAACAGATGCCTTTTTTCCTTAATGGCCCTTTCTCTAATTTAAAATCCTTCCATTGATTTCCCTAAGATTTAGCGATAACTTTAAACACTTTAACTAAATTACCCAGCGGCTTGGCAGCCATCACAGAGGCAAATCCTTTTAGAAATCCTAGCAATCTGTTAGATCATGGGTACTATGATATAAAATCTGTGTGCTCCATGTACAAAAATTAAATCAGTGCAATGGATACAAATACATACTGCAAATGGCACCATTTTCAAACCAAGGGTACATGACCTGTCTCCAAATATTGAATTTCCATATTTTTATTCAGTAGTTTACTTTCTAAATTTGGGCCAACTTATAATCATTATCCCTAAGTAAACCTACTTTGCTTTTTTTAATGGTAATTTATAATCAAATAGAGCCAGCCAGCCCTGATTCATGGATTCTGATGTTGCTAGGATACATGGTTTGGTATTTGATGAAAGTATATCACTTCAAAGGGGAAAACTTTCAAGTGTCCTAGAAAATGACACTCTCATCTTCCACCATGGAAGACAGACCCAATCCTAGAGCTTCTCAGAAGCTCACAGACTGCAGGATTGGCCTCCCCATGCTTTGAAATAAATATCCTCTCTGGAGGGCTGTTCAATTGCTAAAACTAGTCAGGTTAGTCTTAAAGCAAGGAACACACATATTTATAATAAAACATGTTTTCATGTTTGTTTTACAGTGAAGAGAAAAAAACCCAGAACCCCCAGATTTTATGTACTTTGAAAATATATTTAAAAACATTAAAAATTCTATATTTAAAACATATATTATATGTTAATTAGTACACTTAAATAGAACTTGTATTTACAATAGGCTTCTGATGCGGTTAAGTTTTAATGCCAATTTTTTTCAATAACATAATTATATAAATATACTAAAATACAATAAATATTTTTTTTGTTTTACATGGTGAATAATATCTTTACCATAGAGAGAACAAGGCCACAGACATTTACTTACATTTTCAATGGGAATCACCATAAAAAAGCAACAGGCCTGCTGCCATGCATGAAAACACTTCTGCCACAAAGAGACCACAGCAAGACTTTAAAAAACAAAACAAAACAGAACAGAACAAGAACGAACAGCAACAGAGAGAGATTTTAACAAAATAAATCTTAGGTCAACATAAACCACCAAGCATGTGACTGTGATGTATCTTATTGGGTAAGAGAGAGCCACTGACCACACAATCGCTGAATATCTCCTACAAAACCACTTAACAAATCTGGTCTTGGCAATCCTTTGAGATTGTGATGGGGACTTTTTGTTTTTTAATTTTGTCCCTCAAAAGGAAGCTGCAAAGGGTTAATATATAGCAGATATTCCAAGCATTCCTTACATGTTGAAAATAATTACAAAGATAATATTTTTTCAAACAGCACAAAACAAACCTATACTACATAAAGTCTTCCTTCTTTTAAAGACAGGTATTCAGATGGTACTGTAAAAGACAGGCTAGCTCCAAATGAAAGACTGAACAAATAGACATTATTTGCTGATGGTATCTTCATTCCCTGGGTCATGGTGGACAACCTGTTCAGTTTATCCCTCACCCTACTAAGATGCAGCAATTGCTTGCAGCTTTCTGATACTCAAGGACACTGTTCCAGGTGGTGACCACTAACATTTTCAGGCTTGAAATGGGCTGAGTGGGTGAATGGGCTTAATTAGTTTTCACTGAGATACCCATTTCCCCCAAAACCACTATTCCAGGCTCCCAATGTGACTCCTCCTAGCCCAAAATGGCAGAGGTGAGGCCGGGACCCTCTCCATGAATAGACAAGATGGGCAGGAGGTTGCTGTGGCCTTCACTGGGGAGCAGAAATTTTGTCAGCTCTGTCCTTGGCCTCTTCCATTGAGCAAGGCACCTTCAAGCCCTGGTGTCCTGGATGTCCAGACACCTTCCCAAAGTGTTATCTTGGGACAAGGTTTTCTATTGGTCCCCTTGATTATTCGGCCTGAGTTTTGGGGTTTTTTCCTATTCCCTTTCCTCTTACCAAAAGTTCTCAAAGGATAAAACCCTGGTTTCCTCAAGTCTAATTTCAAAGCAATAAGTGTTCATGTAGCAAACATCTTTTCTCTCATTGCATAATCTCATGATCACAAATGCCACATTTGGCTCCAAACCTACTCCAGGCTAATCCAACTTTATGCAAAATTATCTAGAGGTGGGATGGAGGGCATAAGTCGGCTTGAGTGTGGTCCTCCAGTTGAGAACCTCTTGAGCACAGTTAGATAATGTAGGCACTTAAAGCACGAGGTCAAACCAACTTAACACGTGTCATTCCAGGGCCACCTGAAGGGTCCTTCAGAGGCCTTCCTTTTGGAATGTCTCAAGTACCATTCCTCATATCCACCTAGACCTTGGGAGGACCACTCAGAAATTCCTCCCGCACTGCAGGTAAATGACACATCAGCTCCACATAGCCTCCATATAGCTGCTTAGTCTTATTTCACTGGCAATGTGGATTCCTGCTCTGACCTAGGTATTTCTGGGTTCATATAGAACTCTATCTTTTGCTTGCAAGACATTTTTAAGCCTTACCATGAATTTTTTTTTAAGCCTTACCATGATTTATTCAAATGTTTACCCTTCATAAAAAAGAATCTTTTTTAGTTTTTTTGCTTTTCTTTTTCTCTCCTAAAAAAAGATAAATAAATAAATCACTGTTCTCCATGCTTATGTGAGTGCCATGATGTGATACAATTTGTTCACGTATTCATAGCAGTGGTAAAATATTTCAGAGCGCGCAACTGATTTTTCTTCCTTAAGATAAAAACAAAACAAAGAGGGGACCAGAGGGGGAGGGGGGGGAAAGAATGTGCTCTAAGCAAACATAGGTCTTTCCAACAAAAGAAGCTTCCCCTGACCAGCACCCAAAGGGTGAGCCAGAGGCCTGGGAGGTGCATCATGGATGTGGAGTGTGAGCATTTTTTTTTTGTTCAGTTGCCTTAATTTTTATTCACTTTCCAGTCTTCTGATTGATATTGCAAACATCTTTACAACATACAAATGTATCTTTTATCAACCAGAATATATATTGAAGGAATTCTTTCCCCATCCCTACTCCCTGTGGGAACTAAAAAAACAAAACAAACAAACGAAAAAAAAAAACACAAAACAAACAAAAATATACCCTCCCAAACCCCATCCCCTAAAGCCAGTAAAGCAATGACAACAGCACCTTGACATTGTTTTAATTCCAACGCTATCAGAAGTTAAAAGCAGTAAAACAGATATAGTACTAACAAGAACGAAGATACTTACTGTCTAAACTGTAAACGGAATGTTTTGGTTCAAATTTTTGTTGTGTTTTTTTTTTGTCTGTTTTCTGAAAGAGGACAGTTTATTATCAATTCACAATTAAAGCAGCATGCAATTTATTCTTATTTTTTTTAAACTTTTTATGTTTTCAATTCTTGGCAACGGCAACAAACCACAACATTATCGAGGAATGTAATGCAGACTTTTTTTAAAGTTGTGCGCAAATGACTGTTTCCCTTCTGGTCATGGATATGTCCAATAAATAGATTGTAGAACCACTGTACTGTATAAACTTCATTTATACATGCAGTTCATAAAATTATTTTTTCTTAACTGAATAATTTACCCTGTTATGTATATATACAAATAGATAATTTTTGTCTCAATATAATCTATACAACATAAATCCACTATCTTCCCCTTTTAATGGTCAATGTACATACACAGGAAGTGTCTATCCTTATGAATCGCCAGCCAATTCTCTTTTTGCTATCCATGGTAAGGGCCCTCACGTACGATTGGGTAGTTCGGCATTGGGAGTTCCAATGCCTCTTGTCTATGCCCCTGCATCCTTCCTTTGTGTAACCCATGGGATTGCACTTGGTCTCGTAGAAGTACTGCTTCAGTTGGCCTTTCGAAACAGGGACTTTTTCAAGGACAGTGACCGTCCCGCCCGACATGTCCACTGCAGTCTTTTTGTCTGCCGCTGTCACCCACTCGCTAATGCTGTCACACACGCTCAGCTCCCCGCGGCGGGCGGGGTCAGAGTGGCGCCGGACCCTCATAGACATGTTTGCAGCATCCAGGTAATTTTTGTATTCCTCAAGCAGAAAGAGAAGTGGAGGCTCCAAAGGCACTTGACTACTAAGCATCACCCTGGAAGTGTACAAGTCCGCGTCCTTATTGTTTTCTTCGCTGGGTCGAACTTTCTGGTCCTCATCCAACAGCTCTTCTATCACGTGTTCAAAAGTGTCAGCCAACGACGTCAGGCCTCTTGAACCTGCCTTGGGCCCATTCATGCTCTCCAGAGTCCCATGGGTCCGCACACCTGGGTAGGCCAAGCCGCCTTGTCCTCGGACGTTTGCTTCTTTCATGGGGGCAGCCTTCATGCAACCGAAGTATGAAATAACCATAGTAAGGAAAAGGATGGTCATCACTCTTCTCACCTGGTGGAACTGTCGGGAGAAAACAGAAACAAGACATAAAACTGGTTAGGGCTTTCTTTCACAGGAATACAACGTGGCCCATCTGATTGTAATTCCAGCCTATTCTGCAGGGTCAAGGTTTTTTATGTCTTGGTGATAAACTCCAGCTGCACCACACACAAATCATTGTCAGTAGTCTGCTCTACGTGGTTTAATACAAACCAGAGACGTACAGTGTTTCCCCCAAGATTTAGCATCTAAACCTGAGATTAGATGGCTTCTAAGCAAGTGAAAAAATTGTGGTTTCAATTTCTCCTCCTTCCTCCCACTTTAGCAGCTTTGTAAGTTTAATTTTTAATGATCTCTGCTCATGCTGTCATAAGAAACACAAAATCAGAAATGTTACTAAGCAACAACTACAACTGTAATAGTAATTTTTTTCAAGTGAGCAACATGGTCCTTTGCAGGAATGTGTGACAGGAACGCAGTGGCCTGAAGGGTCTGGTGGGCCATTCTAGCTAGCTATGTGATGTCCAGGCATGAATAGCACAAAAAAACAGCAGTCACGGAGCTATAAGGAGCCTTTCCATTGACTTTTTTCCCCTTCCACAGAGATCCTCTATTATAGCAAAGAAGAAAGATAATTTCATTGAGCCATCCTGTTTTACAGATAAGGGTGCCAAAGGCCATAGAGGACTTGCCTTGTGAAGTGAAGACAGTTTATATTAGAACTTGGGCCTCCCAGCTCCACTGTTCTTTCCACTGTACCTGGGTGGTCATAACTGAAAATGTTTTGTTTATTTCCAAACAGAAATCATTTTCTACATGTTCATTTTAATGATGTGTCTGTGCTTGGGGCGGATACATGAAAACAATGTGTCTGCTTAAGAGAAAACTGACAAAGTCAGCATTAAAAAGGCATGTAAGTCAAATTCAAATGCCTCCCATATGCAGACTCCATGTTTAGCTCCATCTACTCTCTGAAAACCCTCATACCCCTTGGCTTTTTCTGATTAATATACAGATCTAGCTAAGAAAGCTCAACTTCTTTTTTTATTGGAAATGTGATCCTATATGTGTGTGTGTGAGCTCTGAGTTTATCACACCTTTAAAATGCTCAGTGGTATTTTACACATTTTGGAATAGGCAGTTATAGTGCTTCTTTCTGTGCTTTTGAAGTTTCCTGGGAAGTCCCTTAACAGCATACCACAAAATTAATCTCTTCCTGTTTGCCAGAGGGTTGCTCTCCTTTAAATTTGGCTCTACATCTACAGGCATGCTCTAGGAAGCCAATTAGAATGGATGAACAAGTAAAATGAAAACATACCTATGGACCAACCCAAGGTTATCATCAGGTGGTGAAGGAGTTCAGAATCACTTACCTGAAGCACTATGTCCCTTAGTAGTAACGAGTAGCATCCCCAGCCCTGGCACACTAACTTTATTCCTACTTCTCAGTTCTGGGGTATGGACTTACAAAAAATTACATACGTGCCACAGTCGTTATGCTGTGCAAGTAATTAGGAAAATGGACTGTTTCTGTCCATGAAGTGTCACTGAATGCAAAGGCAACCTACCTCTAGTCAATAGATCAGAAGGCAGAAAATGGTCAAAAACTCTGGTATTGAAAATCAAATGTTTCTGATCTTCATTTTTATAAGAGATAACATTTTCTATCACTAAGAGACTTTATTACCATCCCTAAACACAAACAAATTTCCTTTAGATTCACTCTCACTTTGCATGAATAGCAACCATGCTCAGAACTGCTTGAATCGCTCGGTGGTCAGAGATTAGGAAGGACAAATTGGTTTGAATAAAATACAGATGTCCATTCTGTTAATTTCTAAATTTTTGTGAATGTTTTGGATTTTGCATTATCAAAGAAATGGATCCTCCACGGAGAATTCTATTCCTGGCAGATGATACGTCATTGAATGGATGTATCTTTCTCCTAATATTCCCAGGCCAAATTAAAACAATCCAAGGGGGCACCTCCTACTTAGGTTGACAAAAGGATACAAATTTAGAGTACTTTAGCTGTCTGTGTCAGATTGGTAGAGATTTTCTGTGACCAGCTATCTTTTAATGCCACATTTCATCAAATCTAAGATACCATCATTATAAAACACAACATTTTATGTACCACTGAGAGAAAAAAAAATGCAGCCGAAGTATTGCTTTATCACTTAGAACTTTTATTGTATACTTACCAAAGGAATTCTTTTAGACTTATTTGGACACCTCTTATCATACATAACTTTTATGCATGTGTAAAATAGAAAAATAAGCAAAATAAATTAAGATAGTGACAATTATGTAGTGACTGCTATATAGCCAACAAAAACAACAAGATAACATCAACTGTAAGACACAAGCCAACCTGAGAGATTTTAACATATGAAAAAAAGGTACATCTTAGAATTAATGAAATATATTAAGTTTAGTAAGTATTTACTAAGTGCCCACACTAACTGCTTAAAATGGCCAAGGTAATGAGGCATCTTAAACTACAAGGTTGGAAAATTGTTTTGTTATCACTGTTATAGTAATGAATCTTTTAGTGATACCTTTTTCTATACTTGGCTTCAAGAAGTTTATCCTGCCTTTCACTGGTCTCATTTATCTCTTTATTGATAACTTTTTGATTAGAAAGGTAATTAATGCTTTATATATCATTTTCTCATCAGATCCACAAGCAAACATTTCAGATGAACAATTAACATCTGAATAAATATTACTTAGCTTTCATTCTGAAGTCCAAACATGGGCATTCCTCAAATCTGAACCAGCCAGGCATAAAGTAGAAATCTTGGAATCAAGTTTGACAATACATTTCTTGCATAACCTTCAAATCCAGTCAGTAAAGATGTCCTGCTAATTTTTCCTCTAAAACACTTCTCCTCATTCATCCCTTTTTCTCCACCCCATTGCCACAAGCTTGGCTCAGCCCTCACCATCTCATTTGGTGACTACAATGTCCCGCTGCTGTACTGGACACTCCTTCTGCTCCATTCAACTCTGATGACCGCCTCCTGACTAACCATTCTCATCTTATTATTGTTTCATACAAAAACTTGCAATGGCTTTTTTGTTCCATCAGATCAAATCTAACCTCTTCTACCTGGTATTAAACACCCTCCAAAATCTGGCCTCACCCTTCTTAGCTAACTTTCTCGTTATTACTCAATGCTTCACTTTCCCGTATTACTGAATGCTTCATCATTTCTGCTCTGATCAGACCAGAGCCCTGTACACATTATTGCCTGGAAGTGACTTGCCCCATTCTTCTGGCAAAGTCTTCTCTCTATCTCTCTCCTTGCTAAATCTTTTTTATCCCTCATAGTCCAGTTCAAGCATCAAGCCACCTTCTCTAATTACCCCAACACATACTACCTTCCTTCTCTACCATTCCACATTATATCTTATTTAGTATTTTCTTCCCTACTCATTGTTAACTGTATTCGGTAATTATGGTCAGTCCTCAGTTGAAAGATAAGCTCTTTGAAGGAATGGATTATGTCTCATCACCCGTAATGCTTAACACAGGAAAATGTAATAGTAGTAGTTGGTAGAAACTTATGAATGGGTTTATTAAACTAAGAGAAAAGACAGTTCTGACATAATTTTTATGGGGAGCCTTTTCGTTTGGAAAGCATCAGTGAACTCACTGAAATTCCTAAGTAAAGTATAGACTATATTGACCCCAAATTATAATATAAGCTGAAAGGAATGTGACAGATAGCAGTTATCAGCCATGAGCAATTTCTTGAGTGCCTCTAATAGGGTAAAACTTTACTTGAATAATTAAAAAGTAAATTATACTTCAACATACTAACTGTCCTACTTCTTCCTGTGCAGCTCCATTTCTAGCAGATCAATAGAATACTTGGAAAGTAGTCAGTAGTAGTAATAATGATAATAATAATATTAAAATTTGGAATTTTCAGTCTTTTAACTTCCATTTTCTTATTCTGCCAAGCTCATCAATGAGTAATTTTATATACTGCATTAGAAAATCATAAAAGATGAAATAAAAGCTTCCACAACAATTCTTCATTTTCACCCTTCTGATGAGTCTTTATTACACAAAAGATAAAGTGGTTGTGCAATATTGCTAAGTAGATCATTAGTCTATATATCTATTTATACTGCATAAATTCATTGATGCTGTCTAATTCTGCTCCAAGGCTTAAAGCAATCAACTCAACCACATCTATAAAATGCTAGGAAGGTTTTCTTAGCTCCACTCTTAGAAAATTCAATATAATACATAGGACTGAAAAAAAAAATCAAAGAAGTTGATATAAAATTTACTTTTAAGCATGACTCACAAGTCTTAAACATTCAATCAGAAAAAATGTCCATGACATTCAAATGCTCCCCTTACACTTTGTCTAAGAGACTATAGAACATTCACAAGCATCATCTAATTTGATTTTTATAAGGAGACAGGATGGGTATTATTATTCCTATTACACAGATGAGGCAATTACACTTCAGAGAGGTTAAATAACCTGTCAAATGTCATAAAGCGAGTAGGTCACCTGTCTCCTGATTCAAGCTCTTACCATCAGGACATGCTGCCATTTTTAGAACATTAACTGCGGGAAGCACAGAAGCTATGACAATGAGGGAGCTTATAAAATGTGGACACGGCATCCTACAGTGATGTGTATCCTGGAGCCCAACTTTCTAAAGGCAGCACCAATTAAGATACTACTTCATTGGACTGGATTAATCATGACCTCTAAGACCCTTCAACTTGAAGCCTTGATTACTTCAGTGGATGGAATTTCAGACAATACAGTCTTCTTCTGAGAGAAATCTTTGCAAAAATTTTGGCCTGTTAGAATGAAGTTTCCATGGCCAAAGCTGAGAAGAAGAACCAAACAACAATATGGGCAATCCAGGAATGTAGGGAAAAAAAATGCAAAATTTTGTTGTTCCCAGCCCCTTTGTGTTTTGTAATGAAAGAAAATATAGTTTAAAGATATGACTGCTCATTTTAGACAGTCCTATAAGCAACAACGATAATGGTAATGTTGAAGAAACTATCAATTAATATTTAATTTCTAACATATATTATGCAAACCAATTAAGGGACCACCTTAATGAAATCTTACAAATCAATAAAATCTTTAATTTGCATCCAGTTCACTACATCCGTACATTAGCCTCCCTCTTGTTCATTCATCCATAAGAGCTGAAGTCTACTTTCCAGTCTTACTGTCTAGGAGGGAAGTAAGACATTTATGTAACTAGAATATGAAGGTAGAAACAATCCAGGAAATGTATGAATAAAATTCTGTAAGTAGAAAGAAATTACTTCCAGCTAGAGAATGAAAGCATGTTTCGTGAAGAAGATTGGAAAGGGTTTGAATGTACCCAGAAAAGATACCTATGGGTGAATGGCAGCTTGATTAATGGCACAGAGGTGGGAAGGCATGGAGTGCATGTCCGGGGAGAAGAGTTTTAGAACAGTAATAGTGAGAAATAAGATTGAGTGATTGCCAGATTTTGGAAAGCTCTGAAGGTAATGCTAAAGGCTGTGGATGTCAGCATATGGATACTGAAGAACTAATGAGAGTTTCAGAGCAGGGGAATGTTGCAAGAAGACCAGTTTACTGGAGGATTCAAAAGAAGG